GGATGGATTACGTAACAAAAAGACAGAACGTACAGAGTACGTTGTGCAACAGAGCTAACAATGATAAATGATAAAACATTAACAGCCTTTTTTATAGTGAAGTTAAAATTAAATTTCGGTAAAGAAGTAACGATTCAATGTTTTTTATACTCTCTCTTTCTCTCACTGTCACTCTCTCATTCTCTCATTTTCACTCTCACTCTCTCATTCTCTCATTTTCACTCTCACTCTCTCTCACTCACCCCCACTCTCTCATTCACCCCCACTCTCTCACTCACCCCCACTCTCTCACTCACCCCACTCTCTCACCCCCACTCACTTCCACTCTCACTCTCTCACTCACACAGGCCAACAGTAAAATGAAGCCTCGTTGTGTGAAATGTGAGAAGCACCATCTCTACTCGAATGTCAAAAAACAATAAATGAGAAACCGACATGTATGAACTGCATATTAGTACATACTGCAAACCGAGGTTCCAAAGTATTTAACACAACTTTCAATTACCCTAAATCATTCAAACAACCAATTCCCTTTTCTCAAGGTATTTACTTCGCAAAGCAAACTTTCTTCATAACTATTACCGCTTGACAAATAGCACAGTTCCACCATTAGATAGAACCATTCCTGTAGAAATGATTCGTATTCATTCCACAAACGTTATTTTCAAGCGTAGAATGAGAAGAGACGCAATCAATTATTTGAATTTTTAATATAGAAACTGTTTCATTGCCGTTGGATTTTATTTCAAGTTTTCGTATATCTAAAGAAACTATAGCCAGTTAACTGTTAGCATTAACTCCTCTTTTTCTACAGACTCATCTCACATGATCGGAAGCTACCTTGTTTTCTTTCAATTTCTACGCGTATTGGAAATAATAGATTCTTACAATATTATATTTAGTTGCGATATCGGTACAAAGTACGTCCCTCACGTACATCCTCCAACTGCCCTCTCTGAACCGAGTAATTTTCAAATGTCGCTGTAGCCCTCAGGGAAACGCTTATTGGAATGTCACTGCAGCCCTCAGGGGTCAAACGCCTATTGGAAAGCGTACAGAAGATTCTCAGAATGAGAATATATACTTCACGGAAGAGATGTAAGAGGTCATAAAAGCTTAGAGATGCGACACATCACGCACATACATTGAGCCTAGGCCATTGACAACAAACGAGAGGGTCTGACCAACCTTAAAGGCAAGAAAAAGACCTTAAAGACAAGGCTTGAACACAGATTTCTAAATGTAGAAATATTACTTTACCACTACAACCTATTTCACCTCTGTAAAGAACAATAAAAATAAAAACTTAAGAAAAGATGAGTAAATGTTAAGAGATTTAAAATAAATAATTTTCCGGAGGCACAAGTAAAAATAACACTTAGTTTATTATACCAACCTGGTGTAGTAATATTGTCGTAAAGCAATTCATAATGGCGCACAAACATATAACTTTTACTTAGATATTAGAAGGCACGACAGAAGGTAATCTTGTAATCTTCGACAAAAACTTTCTACATGTTTGTGAGACTACCAACCTAACAAAAAGAAATACAACACATGCTAGTTGCAGTCAGTTTTCTTTAACACTATACGTCTTTAGGTTTAGTGAATACATAAAGAATACAATTTTACTTTTACTTGACAAAAAGTACTAAAAAGGCAACGCTTTCGCCATAATGTCAGCAACGTGATGTTTGGTTGGAATTATCCGCACTCCAAATTACCCGTCAGCAAACTTCTTACAAAGAAAAATGCTTGATTGCTATGTTCAGTTTGACGATGAATCTCAAGGTTTTGCGTCAACTCTACTGTTGTAGTGTTATAAATTTGTAGAAATAAACTTGAGACAATTTTGCAACAATTTTGCAATTTTGCTAACAGTCCAGGGTTGTTCTTTCAAGGTACTTCCAATTCTACTGTGTACAAAACTACACAGTGAATTGACCTTGCCAGATATCAAAAGACTAAAGACAGTCTCGGTATAACTTCGGGTTTGGGATTTTCAGTATTGGATACTAAATAGAGAGTCTTCCATTTAGATCAGATATTAGATTAATAATAAATAGGTAAAACAGTTTCCTCTTCGGTCTTAAGCATAGTCTTAATTCAGCTCGATACACAAATTTGTCGACTTTGTAATATGTGTTGAAACGTCATCTCCCCGAATCCAGACAATTAAACGCAAACAAATTTGTACAGATCTTGAACAGCCGATCCTTGACTGACGTGTGCGTCACGAAAATTTGCTTCGAAGCTTCCCACGCATCAGACGCCATTTCTTTACTGGTCATGGTTTTCTAATAACCGTCTGTGTACTTGTAATCATAGATAATCGTAGCTTTTCGATACAAATTGACTTCGCATTGTGATCTTTCACCGAAGCTTCATCAGCATTCATCATCGTCCTAAATCTCAACACTATCTGTAGAAACAAAGACAGGATTGTAACTCTTCCCTTTTGCCATTGAGGATGAATTGAGGAATTGTCGCATAAGATCCAGAATCTTTAAAGGAGTTTTCTCGAAAATATTCATGACTTTACATTTGTGACTATTTTTTCGCAAAGGTGTAACATTGTCATCAAATTTTGTAATTATGCGGTCAAACAAAAACTTGATAACTTTTATTATCACACAGACAGGTAGTCAGACGGACGGGCGGACCGACAGACAGACAGATAGTCACAGACAGACAGACACACAGACAGACAGACAGACAGACAGACAGACAGACAGACAGACAGACAGACACAGACACAATTTTAAATGCTGCAAGTACAATCATGTTGCAAAAGACTGTAAAGGGGTGTTGACGTGTCCCAAGTGTTCAGGAAATCATTCCCTCAAGGAATGCCAAGAAGATGAACAGAATTTTAAATGCATTAACTGTCTAAATTTTCCAAAATTTAATAAGGATATTTCATTAGATGCTCATCACAGTGCTCTTGATAAAAACTGCCGGTATCAAAATGCTGAGAAACAGTACATAAAAACACGGATTATTAATATGGATAAAACAAACTTAAATTGCTAACAGGTGAATTTGCAGTACTCAAGAGCAGCTACTGTAAATTTAATTCAACTCATTTATACCAAACAAGTTGACATACCTTTTATTCAAGAACCTTATACTGTAAATAACAAACTAGTATTAATTCCTTCAACAATTAGAAAATTTGCTATTGGGAATGGAAAGAAGAGGATGACAAAATTTGTTAATAATAAGACTATAGATATTGCCTGTGTAACACAAATTTCAGACGAGGATTGTGTAGTTGTTGAAATTCAATATAATGACATAAAATTCTTTAGTGCAAGCATGTATTTTGATCCACAAAGAAATATTGAAGAAGACATACGAAAAATTGAAAAAATTATTAAATTTACACGATGATATGGTTTATTAATTTCAGCAAATACTAATGCATGTAGAAAACTCTGGCATAATGCATTGTGCAATGCAATTGGGGGAAAATTCAAAGAATTTCTGATCATAAATACACTGTATGTACTTAACAAAGATACTCGGATACCTTCTATTGAGTCTAGTCGAGGGAGAAGCTGGATTGATTTGACAATGACTAACAACCTCCTTATGAAATCTATTTCCGAATGGAATATTTGCAATGAGGAGAGTTGCTCTCTCACAGAATTATGTCTACAACCGTTGGACATGTTCATGAAAAAATAGTAAAACCTTTTATTGAAATAAAATACATAATAAAAAATGAAAACTATGAAATGTTTGAAAAACTACTGGCCCAAAATTTTGCTGCTGCATTTGATTGTGAGTTTAACAGTGAGCAACTAGATATAGAACTTGCAAACAAAGCAACAATATATAACGACACTGAAGAACTTGTTGAAGATGTTTTAACAGAAACTTGCAGGAAATCATTCCGTATAAGTTGAGGGTATGTGCAAGGCCATAGAGGGAAAACTGTCCCATGGTAGACAGATAAATTGACAGTATTTAGAAAATGAGTAAATGCACTTGGGAGGCTGTTTCAACAAACATTTAATGATGTACAATGAAGGGAAGAGAGGAAAAATAAAAAGTCAATAGAGAGTCAATAGAGAAATAAAAAATTATTTCTACAAAAAGAACATCTTGGAAAAATTATTGTACTGTTACAGATGGTAACAATCCATGGAATGCTGTGTATTGAATAGCAGCAAACAAGATAAGAGGGCAAGGAACAATTACCACACGGCAGAAATTTATAAAACGTAGACAGCTGATATAAGAAGTACTATTCAATATATGATGGAATATTTTGTACCAGATGATGATGAGCATAATGATTGTAAACAGCATAAGGAATTAAGAAAACTTGTTCATGAGCCTTTGCAAACTCAAGACGATGTACCATTTACCAAATAAGAGATATCTGGAAATTGATTTTCTCTATGCTAAGTATACTTTTACTCCATACATACGTACATACACGTGAAAGTAAAAATAAAATTGAGTGTTCGCGATGGGGTAATGTTATTGTTAATTGGATGGTGGTTCTTCTGAATTGCCGCATTGACGCAAAAAAGATTATGTTCTCTTGTCACACGTTGCTTTGAAACTATCAAGGTGAATCAGGCGATCTTGGATGAAGAAGAGCTTAGGCTGTGTTGTGGAGTTTTCTCCGCCCTACACAATGAAACATTGATATACAGCAGGAGGGAAGAGGCGTGAAGAAAGCCCTTGAAGAATTGCGTCTTATTTCCTAGATTTGTTTATATTATCAGTATTAGTGGGAAGGCTGGTGCTGGGTGAGGGTGATTGTACTTTTGTACAGACTTTAGGAGAAAAAGTTCAAAGTGTATTAACTCACAGACAAAGTGTAGCAAGTTTTGATATGGTCATTACATTTTCTTATTATTTTCTTATTCTTTAAATGAATTAATATTCTTTAAGATAGGTACCATAAGGAAACTTTAGAAATGGCATTCATAAATATAAAAAATTAAGAATTCATGAGGAACTTAATGAATTATGTGAACTATAGGTAAGTAAATTTTGATATATTTCACCACTTTGGCATCATAACAATCAGGACTTTAACATTATTCATCTAATAAAACGTATTAATAATTATGCAACGTTCTTTCCAGTATTTGAAAACATTAAGGAGAGGCTCTCTACACCTAAAAGAACAAAATCCTTTCACCAAGAAAGAAAAAAGCCAAACAATGATGTTGCTTTTTATTTACATTTAATGAATTAATTAGGTCTTAAAATTTTACATAAAAATACACAACACTGAAGTCTAGAACACAAACACAAGAAGTTCAATTATCAAGGTATATTTAAAACAACATATACACATGGGCCATACGCACCATTAAAAATGTACAGTAAAAACGTTTATACTGAAATTCACCTATTTTTTGGAATCTTGCTCATTCATCACCATTTCTTTCAACCGGAATTTTTGTATTTTCCCTGACACTGTCTTTGGAAACTCACTAACAAATTTTATTATAAATGGAATCTTATAATGAGCAATCTGTAAAAGAAAGAAATTGCTTAGATAACATGCTGGCCAGAATTTTACAAAAAATTCAGTAAAACTTTTAAAGATAAATAGAACTTTTTAAGAAAGGCTTCATAAATTTTGCTACTTAAAATAGAATTATTTTTAGTAGCAAAATTTATCAAGCCTATCTTAATAATTTTTAATATATATTTTTCCCATTTATTTGGGACAATCACAATTTGAACAACTGAAAAAAGAATTTTTACTCTTGTAATATCTCTTTTTATTCACATTTCAAAGACATTAATGTCTTGATCATCAAGCAACTTTCAACACTGAATTAATGAGTGCAATAATGAAAACAAGTAAATTCGAGTTTTGATAAACATGTGGACTAAATTAATAACTTTAACACAAATGTTAATTTTGTCTGGACTATTTACATTCTTTTTTAGAAAGAAAGAAGAAGAAAAAAGGATGAAGAAAAAGAAAGAAATTTTATATTTGTAACTTACTCATTAGATTTTAAAAGGTTACAATTTATTTATGAGAGTTTTGAATTATAAGTATATTGGAAGCACATGTCTGTTGAAAATTCAGCTTGCAATCACCATAAGAATTTTGAATGAATGTTTCACCAAATGTTTTTTTATTTCTTGTCAATTTCCAAAAATTGAATGAGGTTTAGTTATGTAGTCTATGAGTGTGCGATCTTTGACTCTCATTGACAATGGGCTGATTCATTAAGCTATTGGGCTATGAAGCCCATTTATTTCCTCTCCTTTCCTTTTTCTTCAGTTGCAATGTTGCAATGTTTTCTTCAGTTGCAATTCAGTTTTCTTCAGTTACATGTTGCAATTTAACGTTCATGGGCTTCACAGCCCAATGTCAATGAGAGTCAAAGTTTGCACCTTCATAAACCACATAATAAAATCTCCTTCAATTTCTGGAATTATGACAAGCAATAAAAAAAAATTGGTGAAAGATTTGTTCAAATTTCATTGGGGTCTTCTATAAATTATGTAACATTAAAGAGGGGGGAAGGAGGCTGAGGCAGAGTTACATTGTGTTACATAGGGTTAGTGGGATATTAGATTATTGTTATGTAACACTGATTTTTTTTTTTTTGTTTTTACATTTTTCAACATTTGCTAAAATAATTCCTTATACTACAACATTAAAATATTAACAAATTAATTTTTTAAACAAATAAATTGCAGTTTTTAATGTAAATTCGTACAATAAATGGAAATACTTTTTCATCCAGTCTTTATTGAAGATTACAAAGAAAATATTCAAAATTAATATGTAGAATTTTCTAGAACCCAATGTAATTGGAGAAGTAGTCTCTTGCCCATGCTTCATCCACGACAGTGCGTGAATGGCTTGAGATGATAAATTTTCATACTTGTGGACCCTTCCTTCACTCACAACTGGTCTTACTGTTAGGTGCAATCAGCATCGCTAACTAATTTCAAATTAAATTATCATAAGCTTTAATATACAACACAACTAAAGTGAATATAAATTGCTTTTACTGAGCTATAATTTACATTCACTTTTTGCATTTTCTTGTGGGGGTTGCATGCATGACGTAATTATTAAAGGGGGTTGAAAAGTGTGTTTTAGGTGAGTTTCAAGGGGGAGAGAAAGTATTCAAAATATTGCAAATTTGTTACGTCACTTGTGGATTTCATGATGAATTTCATCTGGATAATGGATCTCATCTGAATTAGTAATAAATTTGGTTCTTTAAGTAGACATTCACTTCATGATAGCATGCCCTATTTTCAACAGGTAAGGCATGTGACACTTACATACTTGTATTTCAAAATTTGTAAAACTAAATTGTAATCTTTTAAAATCTAATGACTAAATTACCATTATAAAGTTTCTTTCTTTTCCGTCTTCCTTTTTTCTTTCTTTCTTTCTTTTCATAAAAGAAACAATATTAAATGTTAATAATATAGGCAAATTAACAGTTGTATTAATGTTATACAGGTAGTCCATGTGTTTATCAGAAACCTTGAATTTACTTATTTACTACACAGTATTCAATACATACTGTTCACAATATTAAAACTTGCATGATGATGAAGGCACAACCATCTCAGAAACATTGTGGATAAACAAATATACAACAAGAGTAATACGTTTTTCTTCAGTTGTTCCAATCCTGAATGTCCCTATTAGGGAGAAACTTACAAAAATAATATAATTTTATTTCCTAACTCGGTTAATTAACCAGAGAATAAATTCTTTTGCTCACTGATCACAATCAAATGCAATAAATTGTTTACTAGCAAACAAATAATTATTTTCTACAAAGAAATTTTAAAATATATTCACCTTTCCTTTGCAGAACTGTTTAATTGCTTCATCACTGACAACAGTATTCTCCTTCAGTCGTAAACAAGCACATACTACCTCTCCGAGACGAGCATCAGGAAGTCCAAATACCTGTAAAAAGTGTCGTATTAGGCGTGCATGATAATTTTTGAAAATGCAACAAAATTAACAACAAAATTATGTTACATCACAAAATATATGTAAAAATATGAAGAACAGATGTAAATGTTTGATTACAAGGTAATAAATTAACATGATATGGTGATTATAGTACTCTCACTTTTGTACTCAAAGAAAAACACAACATGGAAAATGTGTAAAATATTGGGAAATGATCATGGATTGGAAGAAATGGAAGTGATATAAATTAACAAAAGGAATTACAAAGGGAACAGTTTAAATATTAAGTACCTGAATGAAAATATTAGTACTGCGTGAGGATATTTATGACTCTAAAGAATGTAAATGAAAACAGAAATAATTAATCTGAAATCATCACCAAAAACACAAATCAATTTTTAAAATTTAAGAAAACATGAATGATACCATAATTCTATATAATTGCTAACAGCATCACTTTTCTTCAATATTATTTCTTACTTTTCACTAACAAAACATAACGGTCTCTAAGATCCAAAACAAAAATTAAATCATTAAATCATTAATTCTATTGTTACATTAAAATTATACTCCAAGAACTAATGTATGGTTATGTTCGGTAATCATGATGAATGTATGAAATAAAGAAACTAAACAATGGACAAATTATTTTATATTCTGCAAGTAATCAACTCTTCATTTTCAAAAAAACATGATATATTTTTAGCATTTTTATCTACTCTAAATGTCAAATATACTCTAGTACTCTGTTTGAAATAAAATATAAATAACATTAAATAAGCACATACATATTCTGATTACCATCAATACAAATTAATATACTTCATGTTTTAAACCTATCATACAATAGTAAAATATTACTATTTGAGATGTAATGTCTTAGGCTTTGGTTGAGAATGAAGCACCATTAAAAAAAAATTCTCTATCAAACTCAGATTTGAAGCACTGAGTGCCCTACACATTCAGAATTTAGAACCCCTTTCATTTACAATAGGAATAAAGTATATGCTATTTAGTGCATTTTTGTTAACAAAAACGTATTGCTTAAAGAAAGCATACAGGTACTAATTTTATCACTGAGTTTAAGAAGAGCCTATCACAACTAAACAGAAGATCCAGTTAATATTTAAACATTCATTTTACATTTCTAGTACTTTTAATTAAAGCTAGAAATAAACTTGTATCAGAAGTTTGAATTTAATTAATTGTGCATCTCGTAACAAATTATTATATTAAATATGTATATTGAAATACATTTGTACTGTTGATTATTAATAGTTATTTTAGCTTGCAGTATTCTTAATAGGAAAATTTTACTTAGTCAGAGACTTATTTTTATTGACCTTCCTTTCCGAAGCAATAATTGCATATCTGAGACCTTTGTGAGTTGTTATACTGAGAATTCACTTCCTATTTTCCACCAATTTCTTTAAGATTTATCACTTCCTATTTCACTTCAATGCCAAGTGTTAATGTGTTCAGCCTCTTTACTCCAAAATTGATACTTCCCAATCAATTAATAGAAACTAGAGATGCTTGTAAGTTCTAAATATATTTTCATTTCTGGGGGCATAAACCTCAAATACATTTTCAAAATTTTCTCAAAAATCTCCAATTTTTTTGATTAAATGCTGTCCTCGTATAGCGTAGAGGATGCTTAAGAGAATGGTGTAGGTCTCATTCTTACTAAAAACCCTGTTTTTCAAAAATTGCAACTACAATATTAAAGATAGAGAATTTTTCTATGTAAAATTTGTTCATTAAAGATAGATCCTGAAATCAGGTCATGTACAACTTTTCAAAAATATGAGTACTTTTGGGAATAATTTTCTTAAACTATTTTTTCCTGCAAAAACGGTTAGAAATGTTTTCTTTAAATTTTCTCCCTGTATGTATCAAAAGATGGTTAAATATTGGTGCTAGTCTCATTTCTGGCAAATGCTATTTTTGAAAATTGTAAAAATTAAATATTTTAAAACTACAAATTTAAAGATAGAGATATTTGTCTTAAACAAAATCAATTTTTAAAATTCAGCTTTTTCATAAGGTCACTTTTTGAACAAAAGAGTAGTTTTCAAGAAATTTTTGCTTGAACTTAAAGCACTTTATAACTAGTGGGGCCACAATAGCACATACACACATTATGCACACATTATTTGTAAACATGAATTTTTCAAAAATTGAGAGTGTCAAATGAAAATGAGACCTGCACCATTCCTTTACGCATTTCTCATTCTACCTGTTTAACAAATTTGGAGTGGTATCTGAAAAATGTTTTTTTTTATTTCATTAATTTCACGCTCAATTATGCAAAAAAATATATTTTTCCCAACAAAACTTTTACAATTTTGGGATTATCGCTTTCAACGAAAATGAGACATGCAACATTCTCTAAGCTTTACGCTAACCGAAGACAAAGTTTAATCGAAACATTTGGAGCCATTTTTGAGAAAATTTTGAAAATACTGTTGACGTTTCATGGAAAGTATCCTCAAAATTCAAAATACGAGTATCAGTTTCAAACTCCGATGGCCTCGAGCTCATTTAAATCGATCGGAATGAGGAATATCAATTTTGTATAAAATCGACAAAACTGTTTAGGCGCTAGCGTTAACGACGGATAGAGGGACGTACGTTTCGTCGTCAATCGATTTTTCGGTATTAAGAGCCAACAAAACAAGGATTCTGACTACACTACGTGTTAGAGGAAATAATTGAATACACAGGAACAAGGTTTATCCAATTTTTCATTACCAGGGCCCGGCAATAAGAGTTTTTCTGTGGAATATTTCCCTTTTTTTCTGACGTACTATTACGATCCTTTCTCTTCTTACGAAGTAAGAGATAAAGTAATGAAACCAACATTTTCTCACAAACCACTCCAAACATTGTCTTCAATTTGTATCCAGGGATAGAACAAAGAATGATTAAGAGAATGACGCAGGTCTCATTTTCGTTCAATTATCTGAATTTTCTAAAAATGCTAACTTAGAAATTATGCGAGAAAGTATGCGCTGTTGTTGTATCCCTTCTTAATTAACTATCTTCTTCAAAAATAGGTCGTTAAATCAGGCCATAATATAATTTTCAAAAAAAGGAATGGTTCTCGCGTAATTTTGAGTGAAGCATTGGCAACATTTAAAAAGAATTCTCAAAAATAGCTCCCTTTTGTTTTCTTAATTTTTTTGTCAAATAGAGCAAACTACGCATATAAAAATAATGCATGATTCATTTTAGTCATTTTTGTGTTTTTGAAAATTGCAAATAATAATAATAATAATAATAATAATAATAATAATAATAATAATAATAATAATAATCCGTGAATTCTATATTACACCGTATATTCACCTATATATACCGTAAATTCTATATTAAACACGAACCAAATGGCGTTTACTGATTGAAAATCTATCCATTTGTTTAGACGTTGTCGGTAAGGTAAATTCCTCTATGACAGTGCTGCGATCTACTACTGATGTCCCTGCAGTCCCTCTGATCGGGAGGTCCTAGTTGCGACAGTGGCAGGATTTTTGACACTTGTTTGTCAGCTAGATCGAATTCAGACGTTGTCTGGAGGAGAATTCTAGCGGCCGGCTGCCCTGATCGGTAGATTTCCGTGGTTGCTCCGATCAACACCAGGCGAATGCCGAAGTAGTACCCCAACAAACGGGCCATGGACCGCGCGCGATCTCTCTTTTCCTATCCTCACTTGTTACACACACACTAATATGCACTACACTATCATACATGCCAGAGGAGCGGTTGGGAGCTTAGAGTTTGTCCCGGTTAGGGTAGTGCCACGCTGGTGGGAGATACCTGGTTTGGGACAAACCTACTAACCAACGGCCTGTAAGAGTCTGTAATACCGTCTGTAAGAGCAGAATATCGTAAAGTAATCGTAAATTACCGTACAGTAGAGTAAAAAATTACCGTCTGTGAACATAGAAGTCTCGTGAGTTTTTAAGCACTTGCATGTGTGTGTTTCATGTGAAATATTATTTACACACTAACACTTTATATTTATCCTAAAGTTAATGAAAATATATTAACAATACCTGAGCCTCAAGAACTTCAGGATGCTTCTCTAAAAATTCTTCAACTTCCTTTGGATAAATATTTTCTCCGCCTCTTATGATGACATCTTTGAGACGTCCAACAACTTGTCCATAACCGTCTTCTCTCAATACAAATTGATCTCTTCAAAAACATGAAAAGGAGACTTTTTAAATTCGACATAATGTAAAGGGCAAATACATTGTCTTAAGTGTATTATTGTTATTGGTATGATCATCATCCTATGACACTACTCATTACATCGCATCTCTCGTGTAAGACTGCCACACCTTCAAAAGAGAATTGTACAAACAGTAGTACATTGTCTACGCAAATGGAGATGCATTATGTTGCCAAGACACAAGTTCCGCAAATTGAATTTTTATGCTTTCCAAGTTTCTAAATTTACTTTCTTATGTTATGGCAATCTTCCATGAAAAGTACGATGTATAATATCGAAACAATATTTAACACATTAATTAAGCTGAGTCACTCGGGCGTAAAATACCAACACCAATGTATTCTGTACCGTGTGATAAAACACTACATCATTACGCTGAGGTACGTTTCGTTTCTGCATAGCAGTATGTCTGCGAATTTTGTAGTTCCAAAACGTTCTGGAGTTTCTGTTTAAGGCGAGTCGAAGCGGTAAGCCTACTGATATCTAAGGAGCGAATTTTCATTAATAAAATAAAAATCTCTGTACTTGCAGTGACAGCCCGCATACGCCTACCAGCAGCGCCCCGGCCTCGCGGCCATGCACGAAGCATCAGATTAGCGAAGACCTTCAGATTTAATAGAAGGTTGATAGAAGAGTTTGTAGTGGATGATTTAGCAACTGTAAGCATTTTGTTAATATTCTGTAAGAAATTAATGTATACTGAGCAATATGCTATTATGAAAATAATGGCAGGTTAGAATTGCTCGCGTAGTAATGCTTATTTTTAGACACTCAGTGTTGAAAACGGCAAACATTTATTTTCGATCCTTCCAGTGACACGCTCTTATTTTGTAGTATTGTAGGTGCTACAGTTCTCCCGCAATTTTATCCCACTTCCGGATTTTATATTAAGTTTGAGATATTTAGAGGATCGTAATAGTATTGATTTTTTACGCCGAAAATGACTCACCTTAGATGTTAATGAGGCGAGACTCACCCCGTCTTAAACCATCCTTCTGGGCTAATTGCTTCTTCAGTCTTGGCCTTATCCTCCCAATATCCCAACATGCAAAAGTAGCCTCGCAACCATAGTTCGCCTGGTGTGCCCAAAGGAACCATTTTACCAGACCGATCCACAACTTTTGCCTAAGAAAGCAAGGTTTCATCAATATTTGCAAAAATGTCTGAACGCACTCGCTTCCACTCGTGCAGCTATCAGCACATTTCGAGCTCTATTAATTGGCTACCCATGAGCACAAATACATGTGGCATTGTAGAGAATCACAGGATATCAGGCGTACTACCCCAGACGCGGATCCAGAAAGTACATTCGTAATGGAACTATATATAATTGAACAAAATTATTTTTAAAATGTTGGTTTAGGGGCACATAGCACCCGCTCTCCCAAATCAGCTACGAAAATTGATTCCGCTGCCTTGGAATTTGGTAGGAGGGATTGCAGTCTGATCTCCTCCACCAGGAATGCTTCTTGCGAAAGAACATATGCCAGTCTAGATCTTGTTCTTTAAGATATGCCCAATGATCGCTTTAGAAACGTGGTTTTTCCAGGTCGGATACATTTCTTATAGTGAGTTCTTCCCAGATGATATCAATACCGTAAGGAATGACTGGTAAGACTTTTGCTTGAAAAAGATTCATAGCTGTCCTCATGTCCAAGAGCCTAATAAATTTGATTTAATTGATGGAGATAATTGCATGAGATGTTTTCTCTGCAATGTGTTTGGTGAAGTTTCTACCACTTACTTGTAGTGTCAAATCTAAGTATTCGAAATTAGGGACAGCTTCTATCTTATTACAATCAATTTTAAATGTGTTATGTGGGGCTTTCACTCCCGTTCTGAAAATCATACGTTTTGTTTTGTTGGTGTTAATTTCGAAGTTTCGGGTTTTGTACCATTTTCACATTTCCTCAATGGCTTCTTGTTAAGTGTTAAATTACCTCTGTGCATATTACAACGTCGTCGGCATATGCGAATGCAGTAACTCCCTTGTTTCGCTTCTTGCTATGTCGATCACGTATGTAGATGCGAGGATGAATAGTAGTGGACTTAAAGGGTCACCCTGAAGCTCTACGTTTGATTGGATAATTGGGTCTCATGCAGTTAGACCGTCGTCCACACGCATCACGTTGTATCTCAGTATGGAGCTTATAAGTCTAGACCATACATTGCGTGTGCCGAGTATTGCTCTGAGTTTGTCAATAACCCATTGCCTGTTGGTGTAGTCGAAGGCGTTTACAAAATTGAGAAAAAATGGCATATAGTTTACCTATTTTCTTCTTCGTGGCGTTCTACAAGTCATTCATTAGTATGCTTATTCCTGTGGTGGTTGATAGGTTTTTTGCGGAAACCAAATTATTCGTCTGGTAAGTAAGCGTCTAGTTTTTTTTGGGTATTCTCAATGTGATCATTTTGGAAAGTAGTTTGAATGGAGCACATTCTAGCGCGATACCTCTATAAGCATCGGTATCCTCGCCGTTACGTGATACTAATTTCCAGACATCTATACAGTAAGAGGAGGGACTATGTAATACATAACTCTAGTATCTTCAAAAAAAAAAATTACCTACCTCAACATGTTCAGAAACATGACCGATGGTGCTTGTCATATGTTCTTCATTGTCAGTAGGTAGAGATTGGAAGACCACAGGACTAGTCTCCGTAAGTCCGTACACAGACTGAAATAATTACAAAAACATTGTTAAAAGAATAAAAAGAACTAATATTGTGACATACTTTCAATACTCTATCAAAAAATTTGTTGTACGCGGAAGAAAGAGTGGGACCGCAGAGGTAGTCGCACCTCTGGTCGCCAAGCGACTGATCGCGCACTTCTGCAGAAGCATCCAGTGTGAAAAAGCATCTTGTGAAGCATGCGCGCCACCGAGAAGCGGTAATTTTGCTTGGCCAATCATAAAAATGTGCGTCGTATTAGTGCAATCACTACGAAGAGCAATACGTCGATAGATTTATTTTAATTAATTTTTCTTGCTGATTTCACGAATACTTTTATTTTTCAATAATTACCTTATTTATTCGATCGTATTAAAATGCGAAGACAATTCAAAAAGTGACGTCAATTTTTAGGATCCTGAGTGGAAAAATACAAGGAAAACGCATATTGTATTTCTCTTCCAAACGTCTCATTTTTTTTACCTCTTTGACAAAATCGATTTTTTTTTCATTTTAGCATTATTCCTTAATACTTCCACATTACCAAAGGTATATAAGTATTAATCGTAGAGAAAGAGTTTCTATCTAGCCCCTGGGAATATGCAAAACTCCTCAGCGATTGGTGACACGTGCCCTGATCTACTGAGTTCCAATGTAATTACAAGCTTACCCGCCAGTTAGTGTCAAGTTCGCAAGTGACAGCTTATTTCGTGGCTTCATAAATTACAGTCTTGGCAAGTACAGTAAAGAAAATGTTCGGTTTGATAAATATCGACAGTCCTTATTCAGAAAGTCAAGAATTTTCTACAGTTAAAATAGGAAAGCAGAAATGATGCACCAGAAATGAATAACGCACGCAATCTTTAATAATTATAACTTTTGCCATTCATAGTCAAAATCTAGACTAGTATATTTTAAACCGCACGAGCCGCCATAGGGAGTTATGTATTGATGTATAAAGTTACATTACATATACTGCCGTACATTATATTTCAAAATAACAAACAGGAAAAAGAATTTACGCATTTTAAGGCCACTGAAAGATGTCAAAGTGTAAATAACTCAGACTTCATGCTCAGAACTTCTCTGTTTGTACTGTGGGGCACGTAGCATCAAACTACACTACAAAAAATCAATGAAAACTTGATTTTCATTCTAAAGGGTAAATTAAAACATCATGCTCAGTAAGGAATATGGAACGTCTCAGTGATCACAAATCATACATCATGCACCCATGCCGCCAACAATAAGTTTCGCAAAACTAAACTTGCAAATAAATAAAATAAAAATGGACTCTTGCATGTCCCACAATGTCAGCCTACCCAGTTTCTTTCCTGCTGGTTGATTCCTTGGGAATTCAACTCTTTATTTTTGGAATATTTAAGGATTTTATAAAACCGAGTTGTTTTTTATCTTTTGCGACTCTAACACCAGTGATGGCATTGAAAGGTGCCATTCATGGGACACCTGCATAATAAATAATAATACATTACTAAAATCATCTTTGTACACATAAAAGTCAGTCAACTTAAAAAAATGAATTCTGACGCCCATACATATGTCTGTTCTAATACATGTATGGAGTAAGGATAAAATCACATACAATTATCAAATTATTGTAGCACACATTTCATCTGAAAAACAATGATTATGCACCTTCCAAGTATTTTCCTGTAATGCTGAGATAGGAAATGTCCGACTTACACAAACTTTTTTGAGCTTGAATGTTTCTTTTATTTGCTGGAACAGATGAGGTGAACAAGGAGAGCCACTACTGAGAGCCATTTGTAGATTTGTGGAGAGTGGTTGAGCAGACTTTTTTGCAAGGTTTACTAGATCTACATACATTGTTGGTGTACCATACACTGCTGTGCAACTAGAAACAGAAATACAAAAGTTTTGTGAAGTTTTATGTTAAAAATCTACCATTACTATTATACTGTATGCTGTTTGTAAGAAAAATTATTTTCTTTGGTTTGGTTTGATATCTTCGTTATTAATCCCGTCTATATTTAATTCGCCAAGTGAAGTATATCGTATTTCCCCCCTTTTTAATAAACCATGGCCACAAAACCCCTTGTATATGTGTGCGTGCGTGTGCGAATGTACGTGCGCGCGTGTGTGCGTGCGTGCGCGTGAGCATGCGTGCGTGCGCATGTGCGTGTGCCTGCGCGTGTGCATGTGCGCGTGTGGGCATGTGTGTGCGCGCACGTGTATTCATGATGGGTAGGGAACTCCCACCAGAGGTGCATCAAATTGATTTTGACAAAAAACAGAAGTTAGCAGTATTATGACAAATTTCGTTTCAGGCACATATGCAACCCGCAAAACATACCTTGCAACATCCTTTACCATCGTGCATAACCAGGAAACGCGTTCTAGAGCTTTAAAACCAGTCATTGTTTTCCTCAAGGGCCGAAATTCAAGTTTTCTATACTGCAATCTACAAACCGTTTTGGACGTTCTATTGTATTTTTATGGTTCTGTCATTCCACAGCACGGTTTAGCAGAAACGCTGAAAGTTGGGTTCGAGTGTGACGATATTTACTGTTTTAAAACATTTATTTAATTTGTTTTGTTTCAGTTTTTGCTCTTCTGGGTACTTTAACCATTCAAATATTTCCATTTCATGCGGCAGGGGCAACATCTGGGAACATAAGGCAACCTGTGATGAACTTGTCAGGAAATACGAAGATGATCATATGGGGAACGTGCGGAGGTACGAGCGGTCGTACACGCCGGGATCGTGTGGTAAGCACGCAAGAGAACACGTGAACATGCGAGAGAACAGATGGTAAAGATACGAGAGAGTTGTGATGGATAAAATTCATATTTATTCTTGAATGCTATTTACACACAACACTAACGGCCTGACTTACAAACTAGATCCTTGGAACTAATTTAAATCTACTTAATCAATGCGTCCTAACTAATTCTAACTATTTACATTTCCTGATCTAGCACCGAACACCATATTATTTATACTCCGCAATTTAAGCTGAATGACAGTTTTGAGTATTTGAGGTGATTCTGCCTCTCTTACTTCCCACTATATATTTTTATACACTTTACTCTATTTTTATATAAACACATATAGACACTTGTATACACATACATTCATATATATTACGATGTTTTTTACACTAATTAATACTTTCCAATAATGGAGTGTGTGCTACTTCTTAATTGTGTTGTTGAGCATTTGAGCTAAGATCAGTATTTCAATACTTCACAGGTTCCTCGACATTTATATAATGACATTGAAATGAGGGCTTAACAACAGAAAAAAAGGACAGTTCCCTGACCGAGAGGATTTGGGAAAATAAAACCGAGTTGTATTAAAAGGGTAAAGAGAACCGAAGCCGACCTTCACGACGGCTTGGGGGGAGGGGGTTGATATCCATCACCAGGAATCTCCCGTATCCGAAACAATCTCTTAATTCCCAACTGGTCTCCTAGAATGTGTGATAGTGTAGTGTGTGTAGATGTCTGTGTGTGAGTGAGTGAGTGAGAGAGTGAGTCAGTGAGAGAGAGAGAGACAGAGAGGGGGGAGAGGTTAGAGGAAGGAGAGACGTGCGTGGTTCGTGGTCCGTTTGTTAGAGTACTCCTCCGGCACTCGCCTGGTTTTGATCGGAGAAACCCCGAAGAACTAACGATCAAAGCAGCCGGCTAGTATTTGGTAATCATATATCTTCGAGACAGCGGCTGAATTCAGTCTAGCTCTAGTGTCAAAACTCC